TTCTAGCTGTCACAGTAGTTCTCGTGTAGAAATGATCGCTTTGGTACGTTGTTATTATAAGTAAATTTTGAAATTAACGTCACTCTCTACTTTATTGCGGTTTCTGTCCTCGCTGTTCAAGGTATTTTGGGTTGTTGCCGAGAGTTAGGTATAAGAGAAAATTGTACATTATTTTTTGGATTAGTTTAAATTAGTTTAGAAAGTTGCTTCCTTTTACACATGTAGCTTTGAAAGTTCTGTGGTAACTAAACTATGTAAAACTAGAATTAACGTAATTAATTCATGTATAAAATATAAATTTCCAATCAGACAATATAAAGAATTCGTCTAACTCTGACCTAATGGATTAATTACCTAAATTTTGTCAGAATAATACATATATGTATTAGATATTTTATTCTAATAGTAGCATGATTAATCAAATACGCCAAGCTTCATCAAACATGTTAGAATGGACATACTTGAACATATACACTCACCAGACACTTATCATATTTAGAATAAGTTTATATTACAGTTCTGAAATGAAGTTAACGTTTGCGAATTTTTTATTTTGCAAAGCAAATTAAATTAAATTAAATATTTACATTGCAAAGTAAATTAATTTATGCTTATCTTTACATTGCAAAGTAAATTAAATTCTAATTTTATAAGAAACCTGTTTTAATAAACATTTCTTTCAAAAGTGGGAAATGCTCTGTGACTTGTAGACAAGAATGTATGTATCACATTCTGACCAATTAACGATTTCTGGAAAAGAAGTGTATGATCCATCACTGTGTCAAATGACTCGTATAGCGCACTATAGATCATCTAGGAATTGACAAGTTAAACTTCACGAAGTATATACTAGGAGACCAAAGTGTTAAGTGTCACGGATCATACGGGAACCGACAATTAACACTTTGTTGTCTGGAGACACATGCCAGCCTTTATGTAACCAACGTTCACAGAAATGTATCGAGAAAGTAAATAAATAACCAGACAAAATTTCACGTAAGTACATACTTACTTCAAATTCAAATTAAAAATTTAACTATCTCACTTGTACAATAACAAAGACCATTCTGCATGCAAAAAAGGATTCCTTTCAAGCTATTAAAATTGCAATGTGGGTGATCCACTGTAATATTATCTTCTGAATCATTCGTTCTTCAACAAAATGTTTCAAGTAAAACATACTTTGTTTGGTAAAGGTAACTCTGAGATTTTAAGGAGATCTTTGTTTTTCTAAATGGAATATTATCTTCTTTTGTAGTTAAGCGTGTAGCCTACTTTGAGACGAGTTCATTGACCCTAATATTGGTTGGTCTTTCAGTCTTTTCAGACTGTTCAAAATTTACCTTCACTGGAAGACTAGAAGACTTTTACAGTAAAATGAGATAAAGAAATTGATAAAAGAAAATTAAAAAATAAAAATAGTCAAATATCACAAGAATTTATTTTATTGACATATGGTTCTTAAATCTATATTAATGAAATATCTGCTTTTTTTTCTATCGTTCAATTTTTCAAAATTTATTTTAATACTTTCGACCGGAAGGAATGCAAGATGTAGCTCAGATCTGCTCTCGGAGGCAGAACTGTCGCGCCAGAGGTAAAATCAACCAGTGGATTGGTGCCTAAGGTCGTCTTTTTGAATCCACTGAAAGTAGATTTTGAATGATTCGTTCCAGAGTATATTACAGGCCTAATTAAAAAGGGGCTAAAAATCTAAAAATCTAAAAATCTAAAAATCTAAGAATCTAAGAATCTAAAAATCTAAGAATTTAAAAATCTATGAATCTAAAAATCTATGAATCTAAAAATCTAGAAATCTAAAATTTCTTTCTTACAAGTTTCACTCAAGACATTTTTTCAAATAACGAATAATGAATATTATAATGGGTTACCCTATATGTAATAAGTACCTATCATTAGTAGGTACAAGCAACCTGTAAAATACCATTCCGTTAAACCTAACATTTAATGATTCAAAATGCAAAGTAGGTACTTAATCAAAAAACCATACTTTTTATTCGCTGCTTTATAAATTTTATGCGAAATAAGTCCCAGTAACGAGCAATTTCACTCCCATCTTTATTAGCGAACAATTTTAATTCCGTCTTTACTGGCAATTTTACTTCCGCATTTATCCGAGACAAGATCGTCCATTCATTAGCCTAACACTTTCATGGGAGAAACGTCGTGACCCTTTCAGTCAATCAGCCAATGGTTCACTGTGAAGTCTATATATTCATTATCGAGCCTCTGGATACAAACGATTGAACTGGGGGCCTCCTTTAACCGGGCATTTGACTCCCGATATCCTTTAATAACTATAATTTATCATCCACTACGGTGCCACGATTTTTCTTACCCCACGATTGATTCCACGCGAAGGGGAACCACGCCGTGCACGTTCGCTTCGCGCCGCGAAACACTTGTAATTAAGTTAGAATTTCACGGTCGATCGGATCAATATGGTAGCCAGCTTTCGTGGAATTATTATCGTGGAATTACGAGGCGCCAGGCCTGTGATTATGACACGATCTTTTAGTCCCATGGAAAATCGAGCATGCAAACTATATGAACCAATCGTCGATTGACAGAAAGATCGATCAAGATGTTCTCGTTGCCCGGGTATTATTGTCGGGATCATGACAGAATATTGATGCTAGTCATTTGAAATGTTGCGTAAAAAGTGTCATATAAATCTTTTTGACAGCTCGATTAAAATAAGTAGGAAAGATTTTTTTCTCTTTTTTTTCCCTTACTTTTCTGAAGAAATTATTTAGAATGACATTAAATAGGAGAGGTATGTTCGAAGTGTCAGTAACACGTGTCGTTCAGTGTATATTTTCACTGTCAAGTGTGGAAAATTTAACAGGTCCTAAAGAATGGAAAATTTGCCTTGCAAATGTGAATCTCATGTTAGCAAATTCTAAGTGTCGGAAACTTTTTTTTTAAACGTTTAATAGAAGTGGTTTATTTGATTTTTACTTCCTTTTTCCATCATCTGTGACACGACTTTCAATCTTCGCGTTTTTATCCCATAAAGTTAAGATTGCGCGTAAATAAAGATTAGAACTTTCTCTGCATCAGGGGGGAACAAAATTGGTTATTAACTGCTTCAAAATAAATTCTCATCAATTTCTATGTAATCGATTAATCATGTAGCAAAGTGCTTCAATCCTTTCGTGATCGAATTATTTTTTTAAAGAACTTTTTGATTATTAATCGGACGTTGTACCTGTAATGCATACTAAATTCAGATCAATTTTTGTTTGAGTGC